AGAACACATCTGCCCTGTATGGTGAGGCCACCCCAGAAACCCAGAGAGCCCTGCCTGAGCCTCAGGCATGCAGCAGCCCCTCCTTCCACCCAGGGGGCCCTCAGCCTAGAAAACTGGAAGTTCTCAGTGTTTCCTCCTCAGTGTCAGGAGCTGCCCCTCTACCCCCTTTCCCCAGACCCTAGATGTACTGCTGAGAGAACAGGGATAGGGCAAAGAGCGGGTCCAGTGACCATCTCTGCACACTGCCACCTCTCTGAGCTCTGAGCCAAGAGGGCATGGAGGCCACAGAGGGCAGGAGTCAGAGGCCAGACCCAACTGACCACCGGGGGGTGGGGGGGCTACCAGGAAACTCAGCCCAGGAGAAGCCTCAGGGTAGGCTCCCCTTAGCCCCTGAGGGGAGGAGGGTAAGCAGGCCCAACTGCCCCCTACCCCAGGGCTGGTGGGCACCCTGCAGGCTCCTCTAACCCTGCCTCAGCAAAGCCCCTGGGAGGAGGGACAGCAGGACAGCACAGTCTGGCCTGGGTGGGGAGGCTGGCCAGGGAAGCAAGCTGAGACAAAAGCACTAACAGGTTATGTCAGGGGAGCGCTCTGGGGAGGGGACCACGCCTCCCAGCTCTGGGGACCCACTTGGGGCCCACTCCCACCCTCGAGAGAGAGCTCGGAGCCTGGAGAGACAGACGCTGGCTTGTTTCTGAGTGCAGCATGCGGGCCTGGGAGGGGGCTGCTGGGCCGCTAGCAGGGAAGCCTCTGCTAGCCAGCCCCTCATTTCCCCTGCTGCTGCCCACACCCCACCCCAGGCTCTAGGACCCCATCGCCCAGGCAGGGGACCCCAATTTCTCACTCCGAGGCTCTGCCTGCATCTGCCCAGCGCTCCCCCTTCCCTCAAGTTTCACCTGACACCCCCTGTTTCTCCTGAGGTCAGGATGGTGTCCGAAGCCAGGGGACAAGGAGAAGCCAGCAAATGAACCCCTTTCTGAGGGCTGTGGGCTCAGGGGGTGAGTGGGAGCTCAAGGAAGCGGAGGGGGCGCTCACTGCAAGCAAGGTCAGTGAAAGGCCAACAACTCAGGCCAGCGACTGAGGAGGGGGGCCCTCGCAGTTGTGGCTGGGCAGCCAGGGCCCTGTGTGTCTTGGCGGAGCGGGACCCCTGGGCGGCCAGGTATGTAACAATTCCAGCCATTTCCTGCCCTATTAATGAGAAAGGGGCTGATATAAATATACGCTCAGCATAAATAAATACAGGCCAGGCCCAGGACTGCATAGCAGACAGATTGCGTGGAGCTGCTGGCCAGCCCTTCAGCCAGTTCCCCCCACCCTGCCCGCAGCAACCCCCCCCACACTGCCCCCTACTTGTTTTCCTCAGGCAGGCCAGGGCCCCTCCATACACACAGGCTCAAGAGCAGATGGACCGACCACCCTGGCCCTTGGCCTCAGAATGGGGTTTCTGCAGCCCCTGGGAAGGCAGCAGGCTCAAGAGAGGGAGCTGGGGTTCCCCGTCCCTCCTGCCTCATGCACAGACCCCCTAACAGCCCTGTGAGGCCTAAGGTGCTATGATCAGTCCTGCTCATAGGTAGGGAAACTGAGGCCCACAGGGTTAAGAGACTTGCCCAAGGTCACACAGCCAGGAGGCTGCAGATCCAGCATTCAAACCTGAGGCTTTCTGACCCCAAGGCCTCTGAGCTGCCCACTGTGTGTGAGGGGCAGCCAGGGGTAGGTTCCTGCCCTCCTGCCTTCCTCCTAAACCTTCACAAGGTCCTGGAGGACTTACAGTCAAGACCTGGAAGCATAGTCAGACCCCAGCTTGGGTAAGATGCACATGCAGGCCCAGCCTTGCCCCACCCCACCCCTGCTCCAGACCACCTCCCAGCAGGAGCATCCAAGTCACTAAGGTCCCTCGGGTGCTGGCTGGGGATAATCTAGGGATTATCTGTCATTGGGGATAATCTGGTCCCCTCACATTGCACAGACACGGAAACTGAGACCCGGAGCAGAGCTCCATCCAAGGCCACAGCAAGAAGCCAGAGCCAGGGAGCCAAGTGTCTGCCACCAGGCCTTCTCATCAGGCCCTGGAAGACCCTCTTGAAAGCGTCCCCCTGCTCAGTGCCACCCTAGCTCCCCGGCCTGGACGCTTCCCAGGGTGGATTCAGGTGTCAACCTGTGTCTTAGAACCTAGTCAGGGGCCTTCCTCTAGGTACTGGTCAGCAACAGCAGCTAAGGAAAGCCAGGTTCAGGGATCCCTGGGTGGCGCAGCGGTTTGGCGCCTGCCTTTGGCCCAGGGCGCGATCCTGGAGACCCGGGATCAAATCCCACATCGGGCTCCCGGTGCATGGAGCCTGCTTCTCCCTCTGCCTATGTCTCTGCCTCTCTCTCTTTCTCTCTCTGTGACTATCATAAATAAATAAAAATTTAAAAAAAAAAAAAAGGAAAGCCAGGTTCAAAGAGGTTCAGAGCCTGACAACATTCACACAGCACGGGGCAGATCTGGGGTCAGCACCCAGAAGCTATGGTGCATTTCTTCTCTCAGAAACCCAATTCAAATGCCTCCTCCTCCAGGAAGCCTTTCCAGCCACCCTGGCCCTGAAGGATGGGCTCCTAGTCTGCTCTCAGGCCTACTCCGCCTCCCAGGCCTTGAGGTATTCTCTCACTAGTGTGTCATGTGAGTGGGCACTTAGCCCTGGCAGCCACACTGGAATGTCCCCCCACCCCCCTCCCATGCAAAGCCCCAGTGTGGAAAGTAGAGGCTAGGCCTTTTCCAGCTGTGGCCTCATTCCCGCCAGCAGCCAAGGATTCAGAAGCCAACTGTTTGAGGGGGCAAGTCAAGCAGGTGCATGCTGAAGAGCAGCAGCATCCTGAGTCCCAGCTGGCCTGCTGGTCCCACACCACACCTCCGGCCCAAGGCCAGGCTAGGCTCTCTGCCTCTGCAAGTGCAGCCCCTTCCCCAGTCCTGGTCCCTCATGCCCAGAGGTCTCAGCCCCAGACCCCTAGGGATCTGGCAGGAGGGGTGGGAGTTTGGCAGGTGGAGGTTCACAAAGGGGCTCCCCAGGGCAGGGGCTGCCTCCCAACATGCACCCCTCCCCACCCCCAGGCAATTTATTTGGGGCCCACCCCCTCCAATGCTTTGCATCTCCTGTGGGGGTGGGGGGGGAGGGCCAGAATTGGAAGCTGACCCCAATGCAGCCATTCCAAAGACTGACTTGGATGGGTGGGTGGCATGTCGTCATAGGCAAAAAAGCCTTTCTTCGAACGATGGGCACAGGATTGGTCTCCGCCAGAGACTGGTCTACAGGTTTAACTCAGAGCATACCTGCAGGCTTGCATAGATGCAGAGTCTCAGCTGGAAACACACAGCACACAGACCACCCTGCTTCTCTTAAGTTTCAAAACAGAGAGGAAGGAAACACTGGTACCTTAACATGTCTGTATTGTGGGTAATTTTTAAAAAAGTTACTAGAAGCAAAGATACTAGCATCACATACACAGTCTCGCCTCTAGCCCCACCACCCAGGGCGGGGCCCAGCCGCCAGCCCAGCCCCCAGCTCCGTCCTGGCTCCCCGTCCTTTCCCACTCCCTGCCCCCCACCCTGCGCAGGCCATCACCCTCCCTGCCCCCTGGGCCCTTGAGGCCCCTCTCCATCTACCCCTTCCCTCCCTCCCAGCACCCTAGGCCCCGCAGGCCACAGTCCTGTCAAGCACTGGTGTGCCTCCTCCCCACCTCAGGACCCATGCAACTCCAAATGCCTGCGCTGGGGCCTGCTTCCCAGGCCCCCTGTCCCCAGCCTCAGCAATGGGCCAACTCCACACACTTCAGCACACAGCTTTCCCTACAAAAGTTGGGTGTTCTGGAATCTCAGCGGTTAGTGCAGCACCTTCCCAGCAGATGTTCTGCCTCTGGCCAGATGGGAGCCTTTCAGATGTCTCCCCGCAGGGGCAGGCGGGTCTGCTCCTCAGATTCAGAGCAAAGGTCCAGAAGTTTACCCCAAACCTACCCTGGGCCATCTGCAGGTCCATATGGGAAGCAGGGCAGGAATCTGGCCCTAATTTTCCCAGGCACCAAAATACAGAAGGCGATCATGGGGCAGGACTCTGTGGAACATCTTCCCACACTCACACCATCCTTAGGCTTGGGAATGAATGGCAGGTGATTGCTAACTCCCATGAAACAATCCCTTCCCCTCCTCTCACAGAATCACTAAGCTAAGGGGCAGGGGAAGTCTGACCCACTGCTGTCTGAGCTTGCCTAGCTCCACTGGCTCAGATTTGGGCTGTTTCTCTCTCCCTGGAGAAGATGGATAGATGGGTGGATTTGTGGGTGAGCAGTGGATGGATGTTAGGAGGGTGGGTAAACAGGCTGAATAATGAATGGATAGATGAGTGGATGGGTTGGTGGGTGGGTGGATGGGTGGATAGATGGGCAAATGAATGGATGGCTGGATGGATAAGTGAGTGGTAAAGTGAATGGCTAAGAGTGTAAATGAATGGTTGGGCTATTTGCAGATTAGCTCAGGAGTCACTAGTTCTCAAAGGAACTTTCTGAATCTCTGAAATGTGAGGCCTTGGCACCCCCCAGAGGCCAGAGTTTCTAACGACCCATCTCCCTTAAAGCCCTGGGCACCACCAGTCCTGAGAATCAAAGGCACAGACCTAGAGAAAGTTAGGGGTTTGGGGAAACAAGAAATCTAGGATCTGGTGCTGGCTCTTTCCCTGACTTACTCTGAGACTTTGGGAATGTTCAACCTCCTGAGGCTCAATTTTCTCATCTGGAAAATGGAGCTAATCAAACCTGATGCCCGTAATGCTATGAGATTTAAACAAAATTATATATGGAAAGTGTTTGGGAGAGTTATCTGGCACAGATCAGGGGCCCACAGAATCTGAGTTCCTTTCCAGAGGCAGCCCTAGGGCATGCATGCGCACACACACATGCACACATACGCCAGTAGAGGAGAGGGACACAGAGTGAGACCCCAAGCCAGACCAGATCCAGAAAGACAGATGGGGACACACTTATTCTCCAGGGGTCCCATGCTCTGGCAGGGCTGGCCCAGCCTCAGGGCCCAGAGGTTCAGGCAGCAGGGACTCAGACAAGGGTCCTGAGCCTTTCGGGGGTTCAGACTCTTGGGCCTGGGCCAGCTGGGCCGTGTGCTCAAAGGCAGCTTGCAGCAGGTGGGAGACAAGGCAAGTGGTCCAGGTGATGAGATAGGCTAGGTGCCAGGAGGTGAACGCTGTTGCGTTCTCCACCCACCAGTACAGACGTTTCAGCAGTGTCAGGAGCTCTGGCACCACACGGTTGCCCAGCAAAGCCTGGAGGGGATAAGTGAAGGGGCAGGCGGTGGCCACCAGGAGCTCCCACAGTGGTGCTGCCCGGCTGCCAGGCCCAGTGTCCCAGGCCTGCCCTCTCCAGCCTGACCTGAGCCAGGCCCACCCACCTTGCTGAGCAGCCAGCCCAGGCCACAGCGATGGGCATTCTGGCACAGCCTCCAGGTCAGCAGTGACAGCAGTAGGACCGCCAGCATCAGGCCATGCAGACAGGACAGAAGCAGGTCCATGCAGGTGGCCGCAGACAGGCCTAGCCACTTTGGGACCAGGCCCAAGGCACGGGCACAGCACAGCACGGCCGCCCCCACCAGCCGGGGCGCCCGCAGCCCCAGCCACATGGGGACTTCCATCAGCATCAGCCCCGCCCGTAGCACCCGGCCCAAGGGGCTGGCTGCAAGCCCAGCGGGGGGATGGACCTGGCCGCTGCAGGACCCCCAAGCCTCCTGGGCCAGCCCCGACAGCCAGTGGTTGAAGAGGAGAATCTTGAGCAGCAGGAAATTGTAGAGGTGGACTCGGTTCTGGACCAGCTGCAGGAGGGAGAGCCACACCATTGTCACTCATGCACCCTACCGGTCCCCGTTTTATTGTAGGGGTGGGGCCGCCAGGCAACCATAGGCCAGGTCCCCCCTCTCTGGAGGTCTCAACTTCCCCAACAAGAAAGATCTTTATCTTCCTACTTCTAAGGACTCCATTCTCAGTCCATTCGCTTTAGAAAGTATTTCGTTTTATCTTAGTTTTCTTTCCCTTGAAGTGATTATTGATAATAGTCTAGGCAAAGTGGAAAACCTGCGCCCCGATGTTTCTAGCAGCCATGTCCACAATAGCCAAACTGTGGAAGGAGCCTCGGTGTCCATCGAAAGATGAATGGATAAAGAAGATGTGGTCTATGTATACAATGGAATATTCCTCAGCCATTAGAAACGACAAATACCCACCATTTGCTTCAACGTGGATGGAACTGGAGGGTATTATGCTGAGTGAAGTAAGTCAATCGGAGAAGGACAAACAGTGTATGTTCTCATTCATTTGGGGAATATGAATAATAGTGAAAGGGAATAAAGGGGAAAGGAGAGAAAATGAGTGGGAAATATCAGAGAGGGAGACAGAACATGAGAGACTCCTAACTCTGGGAAATGAACTAGGGGTGGTGAAAAGGGAGGTGGGAGGGGGGTGGGGGTGACTGGATGACGGGTACTGAGGGGGGCACGACGGGATGAGCACTGGGTGATATAATATATGTTGGCAAATTGAACCCCAATTTTAAAAATTTTATTAATCAAATATTTATGCTTATATGAGAAAATATCTTGTAATTTAGATAATCTATGATTACTATAACCTCTTTTGCCAATAAATGACTGAAAAAAAGAAGTCTAGGCAAAGGAAGTGGTTCATTATGATGATAGAAGGAGTGACCATCCCCCCTCAGCCCTCTGATCCTGCAGATTTGAACCCCAGGCAGTTTTTTCTCCCAAACACTTGGGCTTTCCTGCCCACCGGCTACCTGTTGGTGTCATGAGGGCAGCTGGGGACAAATGGCAGTGGCACTGGGGTAGAAAGATGCGAAGTGCAGGGGCAGTGACTGAGTGACCTCTAGAGAGGGGTGAAGGAGAGAGTGGGACCCAAGATCTCCAGGCTTCTGTCCTGGGTGACAGGGTGGATATGATGCTTCCCATCTAATGGAAGAAAAGTGCAAGCTTGAGTGGGGAAAGAGACGGGAAAGTTCCACCATTCCTGGGGCTGAACGGGCCCTCATCAGAGCCCTAAAGCACCCCATCTAGACCCCACACACCTTTGTCCAGAGGACCACCTGGAGCCCTAGGGGGCGGCGTGGGAGACCGCCATCTGGGACTGGCTATGTACCCCACTACGGGCACTGTGGCTTGCGGGTGAGGCTTCTGAGAGAGGCAGTCACCAATTCCACCGGATGGGATAGGTCCATGGGGTCCAACAGCTCTGAGGTAACTGGGAAGGCCTGGGGGCCCCCATTTCCCACTCACCAGCACTGAAAGCTTCACTACCAGCAGCAGAATTTCCAAGAGGCTGGATCTGACCGGAGGGACGGCCTCCATATCTGCCCCTTCTCCCCCTCCTCCAGCTGGGAGAGGAAGGGTGACCTCACAGATACTGCAGGGTGGGGCTGAGTTACCGTGGTGACCCAGTTGCCATAAAAGACCCCCTTCTACCTGCCTCCCCCACCCTGCAATGTGCAAAAACTAAGGTATTTGTCTTCTACATCCTGTCCCCTTCCTGGTTGGAGACTGCCCAGACACCCACACAAGCGCCAGAGAAGGTTCTCAGAGGGACAGCCTCGGGGCCTGCAGTGGGAACTGAGGCAGTCCTCGTGTACAGAAACTGTGGCTGAGGGTGGCTGGGGGCTGCACCTGCCCACGTCTGTGGAAATTCCAAAGAATCAAAGGCCCAGGAAATAGACATCTTGACACCATCCCAGGGCCACAGGGGACACTGTATTTGGAGACAGATAGGAGCCTCAGCTGCCCAAACCTGCAGACCCCTACCTAAGCCCCTCTATGCATCCCCACATACGCACACACCCCACCACGAAGCAGAGAAATGAAGTTGCTAGTTTTCCCCTCAGGTCTTAGTGACACCTAAGACTCCATTACAGCAAAGCAGGGGAGAGACAGTGTGCTGACCTGAATGCTCCAGAGAGTTCTGGAGAGAGGCGGGGGAATGAAAGAAAGACTGAACTCGCCCACTCCAAGGAGGCCACAGGCTGCCTGGAGCATCTTGCAAAGCTTGCCGGAGGCTGCAATTAGGGTCAAAGGCTTAGGATTTTCTGGGAGAATCCAGAACTTTGAGCACAGAGTGCCTCAGATTGCTTTCCTGTCTGGGTCCCATTCCCCCCCCCCCCCCCCCCCCGCAGGTGCCCCAGGAGGCCACAAGAGGAGGCTCTCACAGCCTTTTAGAAATTTTTAGAAGCACGCCCTCTGCTGGAAAGGCTGCCGTAATGCGGGGCTCGGTGACTAGAGGGCACCCTGGTGCAGGCTGGAAAGGGTGGTTGCCACCCCAGCCCTCACCCACACCATGTCTTCAGTCCTCATTTGCACCTCGGCCAGGCACCCTTGTGCAGGATGTAACCTGCCCAACTGGACGTGGGAACCCAGTCCCTGCAACATCAAGGATGACCTCAGCCCAGTCTGTCCACCAATTCCTTTCCTCTCCTGGGACAACAGCTGGGGTCTGGAGGGTGAAGTGTGCAAAGTCCCTCCACTCTGTCCTCTGCCTTTCCTATCACCCACCCTCCCTCTGTACCTGTGACATTGTGGCACTAAGGGGTCACCAGGGCTTCAAAAAGGCCTCCTTGCATTAAGTTTTGAAGGATGACTAGGAACTTCCCATAGAAAGTGTGAAGGACAGTCCGGACAGGGGAAACAGCATGATTTGAACACTTCTGAGAGCAGAAAGCGGGAGGCAGGGAGGAGCACAAGGCAAGTGGTGAGGTCGGCAAACGCCAAATCTTTAAAATAATAAAAAGATTTTATTTATTTATTCATAAGGCACAAAGAGAGAGGGGCATAGGCAGTGGGAGGAGAAGCAGGCTCTATGCAGGGAGCCCGATGTGGGACTTGATCATCAGGACCTTGGGATCATGACCTGAGCCAAACGCAGACACTCAACCACTGAGCCACCCAGGCGTCCAGCCGCAGAATATTCTATCACACGATGAAAGCCGTGGCAGAGCTGAGGCAGCAAGGAGATTCCTGTGTGCTCTAGGACTGTCCCTCCTCGGGAGGACGTGAGACTGGGGAGAAGGGGTCTGGGCTGGCGAGGGTGGGGAGGAGGTGGGGCAGGGGACGGATCAGCTAGGAATCCACAACAATAAACCCTGGGAATGGAGAGAAGTGGACAGATGCCAAAGACACGTAGAATGTAGAGCAACACGGTGGGAAGCTGTCATGTACCAGGAAAGGTCCAAGGTGGTACCCTACTTGCAGGCTGACCAGCCAGCCTCCCCGAGTGCCTTGGCTGCTGGCAGAAGCATGAGATTCCTGGGTCAGAGAGGAAGGACCATCTACTGCTCACAGCACTAGCTGCCAAGGGTTTAGCATTGATTCCTCAGAGTCCCAAATCCCACAGGGGGATGTGGACAGGGCCATGTGACACTTGTCCACCCAGCAGGTATATTATGAGAGAGTAAATCTAAGCTTACAGAACCCAAATGTTTTTAGTGGGCAGTAAGCAAGCCAGCCCTTTGCTCCTGGGATAGACATCATCTTCATCACACTGGAGCACGCCTGTGCTTTGCCCCAGAGGGGGACACCATATATTTATTCCAAGGTTGTCTGACACACAGATATCCTGAAGAGAGGTAAAGCAAAGCAGGGGTCAAGGGACCCCCTCAGAAGGCTTGAATGAAGGGTGGTTGGTGATGCTATCCACCAATGTGGCGGTGGAGAGGAATGGGTTTGGGGAAGGGCCTGACAAGTTGCTGGGAATCACATGGTAGGGACAGAAATTAGGATTTGTGATTCTTTTTCCCCTCTTTTGTCTCCTCCCCTTCTTGGCTTGCCCCCCCCCCCCAAGCTATCACCCAGCACATCCATACCAAGAATTCTACTATCACTAAGCTGAGTTGATGGTCTTCAATCTCACATCAACCAAACTCCCTGGTCATGTGGTCCAGGCAGGAGATGGGGTCACAAGGACCTCACTCTGCCCCAGTGCTGCCAGGGCAGCCCCTCGGGGTATCTCTCAAGACCAAGCTGGGTCTCAGTCCCAACTCCATCAGCTGTGCGCCCCTCCCTCGAGAGCTTGGCCCCCAAGCAAAATTTCGGGAAGTCTTCTTTGTGGCTCTGTACTTGCTAACACAGTCGCCCCATAACCTAGCCTCAGCCATGCAGTACCAGTGACCAGAAGCCCCAGAGTCACCCCTGTCATCTTCCTTCCTTACCTTCCTGCCAAGCCACCTCTGAAGGCCAGGACCATGAGCCTTGCTCACAACAGTGCTCCATGCCTGGAACAGTGCCAGGTGCACAGCAAGAGCTCCAGAAGTATTTGTTGAATTAACCAATGAATAAGGGAGTAACTGCCTGGAGATTCAGCCCCTTGCCAGGCCAAGCTGCTGCATAAGGAGCCCCTAGATGTGGGTTCGTAGGCTAGGAACCCTCCATCCTCTTTTCTTTCCTACTCAACACCTAGGCTCAAGGCCATCCGTGCACTATCATGCTATGTGGCCTTGGGCAATAACCACCTCCCCTCCCTGGCCCTGTCTACACCTTGCAGGTAACAGGGAGGACCAGGTGGGTTAACCCAGTTATCAGTGGCCCCGCTGCGCAGACTCCTTCCCCAGCTCAGGACCCAGCGCTACAGGAGGGCAGGCAGTCTACCTCGGGCTTGCTCCCATTGCCCGCAGCCCAATGGCTCTCAGGTGCGCTCAGGTGCGCTACCCTGCAGGTGCAGGACAGCAGTGCGGCCGCGCGGGGGAGCACACACCGGGGGTGCGGAGCCCAGCGCACCTGCGCTCGCTGCTGGACTTGGAAAACTTTTCACTTGCTATTTTGTCCCCTGCCAGTCTGGGAGGCTGGTTTCCCTGTGACAACAACCGTGCGTCATCCAGAGGAGCTGGCCTGGTGCGAGTCACGTCATGTCTGGGTTACTGGAGGCGAAACCACGGGGAATGATCCAGACCACTTTTCTCCTTTCACATACCAGTGTTAAAATCTCACTTTATTACAAATCGTTATATTGCCCCCCCCAGAAGTACATAAAAATGATAAATATGCCTTTCATATGTATTGCTATTTGTATTTTTGACTTTCAAAAAATGGCTTTATCGGAGCCACTTAAATACAAAAGTAGTAATTAAGAACTGATGGATACAAGAGGAGCCTATCCTGGTTAAAGGAAAACGTTTTGCCCTCGGTTTGAACTGACCTCTGACATTTAATCACAGGTCCTTGTTTTGGCCCCAAGTTCCCTCATCTGGAAAACTGGGATACATTTTGTAGAATCAAATGGGTGAGGTTATGGGCAGAAGTCATTCCAACAGGGTCTGGGAAGTGCTTGGAGCAGCACCCGGCCCCACACCAGTGCTTCGGGGTTGATGAGTCAATGAAGCCAACCCCTGTGGATTGGAAAGTTAACTCAAGAATTTTTAAAAACAAGGGGCACCTGGGTGGCTCAGTGGTTGAGCGTCTGCCTTTGGCTCAGGTCATGATCCCAGGGTCCTGGGATCGAGTCCGACATCAGGCTCCCCGAGGGTAGCCTGCTTCTCCCTCTGCCTCTATCTCTGTGTCTCTGATGAATAAATAAAATCTTTTTTAAAAAAAGAATTCTTAGGGATTCCTGGGTGGCTCAGGGGTTTAGCGCCTGCCTTCGGGCCAGGGCGTGGTCCTGGAGTCCTGGGATGGAGTCCCATGTCAGGCTCCTTGCATGGAGCCTGCTTCTCCCTCTGCCTATGTCTCTGCCTCTCTCTCTGTGGGTCTCTCATGAATAAATAAATAATTTTTTTAATAAAAAAAAGAATTTTTAAAAACAAAATAAGCTACAGGCTAGGCAAAAATGCTTTAAAACATGCACAAATGTGTAAAAAGAAACGGCCTCCAAGTGCACAAATTGTATTGATTCATAAGGCAATATGTGGAAATTTTTCATCTCAACCAAACTACTTTCTGGCGATTTACTTGGAGGCTGAGACTACATTTTGAAATTCCAGAACAATCTGACCAAATATAAAGAAGGGTCCTTGATACCTTAAAATTAACTTAAAAAAAAAAATGCCTCCTTCCCAACATGGTGCAGTCAGTTAACATCACCGAGCTGAAACTGCCACAGCTAGAAATGCTCAAGAACCAGCTGGACCAGGAAATGGAGCTCCTGTCCACGTCCATTGCCCAGCTCAAGGTGGTACAGACCAAGTCCGTGGGAGCAGGACTGTCTGAACGTGCTGAACAAGAACAACAAGGGGAAAGAGATACTCGTCCCACTGACGACTTCTATGTGTGTCCTGGGAAGCTACATGATGTGGAACAAGTACTCATCAATGTGGGAACAGGCTACTATGTAGAAAAGACAGCTGAGGATGCCAAGGACCTCTTAAACCATGTTG